TTTTACAATGAAACATGTTTATTGTTTTAATTTTGAAATGAAAGATCAGTTTCATCCCATCAATGTGAATATAGTTTATTTTCTTATCAATGCTATGATGTCAAACTCCAAGGTTGACTTAACGGATCGTAACGTTAGACTATAGATATTTTCACTGCATTCTCAACCATAGGATTTTTAAAAAATTATATGTATACATATATTATTTCATATAACTCTATCTCAAAAATTAAACAAAAATGAAAACAATTAAACGCTTTGTACACTCCGTACTTAGCATTTACACACATAAACTTGTGACTTGTGATATGACTAAGAATATTGGGAGTAAATATGTCTTGATTATCTTCATGTGTCTTCGTTTAGCTAATAACATCAACAAAAACGTTTTCTTGACATTAAACACTAAGAAAAGTTTTCTTATCAGACAATAATTACAAAAACTACTTATTTTCAGAATATTATTACTAAAACGTTAGTGTATGTAACTTGAAGATGGCCTTAAGAATCTTGCATAAAAATATCATGGTGAGGTTAATTCAAATTTTATATTTAAAACTCATTACCTTAATGATGCTTTCAACTATAATGTGTAGTGCAGAAAGTAATTCATTAATATTTATATGTCAATATTCATGATATTAGAAAAACACATAGGTTCAAGAAGTCTTGATAGAAATGAATACAAACCCTATAAACCGAGCGCTTTCGAAAGGTGGACCTTTCTTCTCCAGGGGCAAACTTCACTTATATGCCAATATTATCTTTGGATCTGCCAGTTTTTAAGGAAACATCATGATATATATATATCCGTGTTCGTTTACTTTGGATGGATAGTTTAATAATGAGAACAATGTCAAATAATTATAATAATTAGTTATTCCTACGCGTCCCCTTTAAAACTGTTTCGTGTGCATTGCTTCTTACTATTTTAAGAACACAGTTGTCATTTTCATATCTCTAGCAGGAAACATAATGAATTTTACTATCTACAATTGTAATATTTGGTGTGCATGTGCAAACAATTTTTAACAATGAAAATAATATCTAGTATATATTATTAATGAGAGATGTTTTCGAACAATTACATTAACTAATTCTTTCACATAAAACTGGAGAGTAATCCTTTTTTTTAATGTAGTTATAAATAAAGCAAAATTAAAATGTATTTCAACGAAAAAAGATGGTTGGATCACGTTAATATCCTTTCATCCTGGAGAATATCGAAAGTCTGCTCATAATTTAAAAAACTGAGTGCAAGTCGTCAACGTGGTGTGAGCTCGTTTTTAATTAAAATACATTGTAACTTTGTTTAAGTGTCTCTACTATTATGAAACATTAGAGAATACTCCACGTCTGGCTTTACTATTAAGTTTCTATCCATTATCATAAAATAGGAAATCAAAATCATCCGCGTAAACTAACATCTCCTCATTCTAATTACAATATATTCATTTTAAATAATTTCACGCTGAATAATGTTTTTCATATTTCTTACTGATGATTATGTAAAGCAAGTGATTTTGTCACGGACATTAATTCTCTTGGTTTCCAATACATCGTTGAAACCGTAACTGTGGATTTATTCTGTGAGTATACTCTAAATTCTTCTTCCTGTCTTGTTTACTGGCAGTTTCTCACCAAATAAGTAAATATATTTCTTTTACCGTATGACTTCTTGTTTTGTCAAACTGAGTTAAACAGTAACGATAGACAAAACTTATGGTTAATTTTGTAACAATACTAACATCCCATTAGCACTAGAGGCTGGAAAGAAAGGATATAACAGTATATTCTATTCTCTCATGCGAAGAACATTATAGCAGTGTTGGCCCAACAGTTGCTTAGTAATCCTAGTTGTTCCTAAGAGACTCTAGTTTCCTCAACCTTTGTAAAATGGGAACAAAATTATGGCATTTTACATAAAAAAAAACAAAAAAACATTTTGATAAGTTCACAATTTGTTTTGCTAAGGTATGCTAAAATGTTTTCAAACATATACTTCTTAGGAAAATGAAGAATTAGTAGCAATAATCTAATAATATTTTAGTGAACCTTATAACAGAAGTATCCATAAGTTATAGCTCTCTCTCTATATATATATGAATGGTGGCCCAAAATCATATTTCCTATTTCAAAATTTAATAATTAAATAACTAAAGAAATGCATCCATGCAGTTTTCAACATCTTGTAACCCAACACAAGCAGTTTTATTGTCTTGTTTTGTTTTTTTACACTACAGTAAGTAGTATTACCTCCATAAATGAAAACCGTGCAAGAAAAGGCTCAATGGGATGTACTGGTAGGTGTGGGTCAATAACGTGGCCTCCGAGATCGCTAGATATCACTCTATTAGACTTCTTTCTTTGGGGTATGTTAAAGACATCGTGTATCACACACCTATAGCAAACATGACGGAGCTAAATACCAGGATAACGGATGCCATCGCCATTGTAACTGTGAACATGTTGCAATGAATGTGGACTGAAATGGAATAGTGGTTAGACCTCCTGAGAGCCACCAATGGTGCACACATAGAAGTCTACTAACATGTAGAAAAAAAAACTATTTAAGTTGGACTGCAAGATGTTGAAAATTGTATGGTTATATTTCTTTAATTGTTTAATTATTAAATTTTAAAATAGGAAACATAATTTTGGACCACCCTGTATATTCATATAATTTCAATAAATATTCATGTTGCTAATATGACCGTTTCTTTTTAGTAAACAATACTGAAATATCGTACTGTATGTTGAAATATTCCATTCTTTGAGCACTTGTAGCTTTATACGTAATCTTGTATACTGCTTCATTTGTTATTAACTGTGTTTCGGTTAATCCCTATGTACTCTATGTTCAAAGTAGGAGTTACTAGCTGGGTTAAAAATCTTGTTTGATTAACTTCTACACTTGAGAATAATTTTAAACTAACGAGTATATCTCTCAACGTGAGGGCACAATGTATTTATTTATTTCATCGTGAATAGTGTTCGATTATCACATACCATAGAAAATATCGCCTGTGTGATATGTATAATAAATAATTAGATGTACTGGGTCCCATAATTAAAGCAAGATCTTTCTAAGTGATCTGGAAAAAAACAAATAGTACACATTAGAGGTAACTTTGCATCCTAAAATTTTTATAATTGTCAGGTGATCAAAATCTAAATCAATTTAGTAAACGAGTTATAAAATCTAACGATGATGGCCAATAGGTCAAAATCTAATAATGTTAAGTTAATAGTTGGCTAATTATATTTAACGCAGGTTTTCAGCTGACCAGAATTTTGTCAGGTGTTAAACCAGCCAGATAATATCATAATTTTAACAAGACATCGGTATTAAATCAACACTTTTAACTTAAATAGTGTGTTAAATTAACAAATGGGATAACAATATAACAAGAGTTAATGCCTTATTTAAAGCAAAATTAAAACCAAAATAATTACAGTCTCATCCTGGCCGGCATGGCCAGCTGATTAGGGCGCTCGACTCGCAATCTGCGGGTCGCGGGTTCGAATTCCCGTCACACTAAACATACTCGCAATCTGCGGGTCGCGGGTTCGAATCCCCGTCACACTAAACATGCTCGCCATTTCAGCCGTGGGGGCGTTATAATGTTGCGGTCAATCCCACTATTCGTTGGTAAAAGAGTAGCCCAAGAGTTAGCGGTAGGTGGTGATGACCTTCCCTCTAGTCTTACACTGCTAAATTAGGGACGGCTAGCGCAGATACGCCTCGTGTAGCTTTGCGCGAAATTCAAAACAAACAGTCTCATCCTGTACATAAGAGCTTAATATAGCTTCACAGCATACATCTTTGTTATAGACTATCTAATAATACCAGTTTGTTGTAGTTACCCAACAATATTCTTTCTTGTTTGAAATTTCAAATGAAACGGTTTGATCTTTGCGCACGATGTGGTCTAATAGTTTATGTGTTGCTGTGGGTTGTAAGGTCTGAGATTCGGGTCGTTGTGCTCCCCACTATCCTCTCTGAGTATGCTGTAAAGGTAACAATCAGTTCTGGACAAAATCCTTGTAGTGCTGAGTCCTATTTATTGACTGCCTTTCCTCTGGTCTGCAGTTCAAAATCAGAAAATATTATAAATTATGGCCTATGGAGGCCTATGAGCTGACCGCTTAGCCCAGGCTGTCAGTTTATTGATATATATATATGTATATTAGATACAAAAGAGCTAGTATATTTAGTGAGAGTTAAAGATGGTTAATCACTTGGTAAATTTCTAGCCTTTTTACTTTCTACTCTCTTTGATCATACATTCTCAATCACTTTGAATCGTCGTTGTACACTTGCTTTTGTTTTCCTACATCATACTATTATTTTGGAGTCTCAATGTCTGTTTTCCAGCTACACGCCTTTTCGTGGTTTGTAAACTTACTCAGGTAACTAGTAAACTAAGTGGAAGCAGACATCCAGGTAACTAGAACGTTATCTTACGATACACACACACACATATATATATACAGCCAAAAGTACTCAACCATAAGATAATAAATCTGGCTAATCTTCTAAGCATTACGTGTGATACTTTACATAGAATACCTGTTGCTTTAAGTCTACTGTTGAGTTCCATGTTAAAGTTTAAGCCAGTATACCAAGTTTAGCGGCTGTATCTCAGAACGAAACATTCCGCTCCCTCTCAAGTCACATGGTATATACCTAGAGGCTGACAAAGCAGATTTAGTGGTAACGTACCACCACTACAGCCATTTAAAGGCTATAAAACTAACGACAGTATGTCCTCTGACATTCAGTTCCTGTTCAACTCCTCGCCTTCTCGCCAGGGCTTATTAAATGATTTGAGCTGTAGTAGGTTATGTGTATGTGTATAGGTAGAAACATATAAATGTACATGTGATGCAAGAGGACGTACTTCCATGGAAACTGTGTGCGCAGTTGGTTCAGGGAAGCTCTCGCGTTTACTGACTGATAGACATGGAGTAGCAGCTGATAGAGTGAGCGACAGACGAATATCGTAAAGGAGTTTCTCAACCTTGTCAATAGTGAACACAAATCGTTCTGTCTGTGGAGCGAATCGTACTTAAAGCTATTAAGATACCGAACACAGGAGAGGCAGCGAGCAGGAAAGTAGAATTCCCTGCTTCGGGAGGAAGCTGTTTATTCGGCTAAGGTAAGGCTAACTTTCTCTACAATGACTGTCTTGACTCTAATAAGCTTACCAAAACTTATATACACATAAGATATATTGTACTTGAACTTTTTAGTAGATTGTGAATACCTTGAATTTTTCTAGCTGACATTATTATGGTGAGCCTACGATGTAGGAATAATAAAATTATGATAGTCATAAAAATGTCGAATTATCTGAAATCTGCATACAATCTGTGATTACTTATTTAATATCACGTGACGTTAGTGCTGTAAAAGAACTTCTTACTATGCCATTCCGTGACGTATGTGTGTGTATAAAAAGCTGATTTCCATGTACCATCAGTAACAAATTAATATAGTTAATAAGTGAGAGCAATTTTATTAATGATATCCTTCTAAATTTATATGAGTTTATCATTGTTGTTATGACTTCTTAAGTTGCGAAGTTTGTAGCTTGGTTTTAAAACTGTTGTTATAGTTGCTTTGTTACATTAGTTGCACAATAAACCCTTGTAAAGCCTATAAAATAATTGTTAGTGGCTATAAAAGGAAACTTTACCCCACCCCCACCCACCCCACACACATGATGTTTAAAGACCTGACAATGTTCTTCTCTAATTTCATGTGAGACATAACATAAAACGTGGTTATTGTAATTCATTAAACACATTTAATAGAGAATCACTTATCTGGTATATTTATCAATTATCTCAAAGAGCAGCGGTTGAAGCTATTAAAAAAGGTTTGTTAGCTTCCATGGAATAAAGCTTAGTTTTTCATGCACACTGGATCGAATCAGGTTTGTAAACTTCTCTTTGAAGAAAGGAGAATAATAATAATACAGCGGTAAATCCTAAGTCTGAAAAAAAAACACATAAAGCGGATTTCTAAAAGTTCTATTTTGAAAACAAATTCTTTTCTGTGTATTTTGCGTATTATTTCGCTGACAAAAGATGGTAAGAAAACTAGTCACGAAAAGCTAAAGAAATGGACTCTACAAAAGACTGAAAGAAAACGATATTCAACTTTATAGAGGATATTTCATATTATCCTAAAATCAGTATATTCAGTTCGGTTTTATTGTGTTTTTATGAAACAATCAGAGTTTATTTTGCCTTGTTTATCGGTCAGTGTGGGGATAAAGGGTTAGTTTCTGAAACATGAACAGTTATCCCGTTCTTTTGACAGTGGTTAATTTAATGTTGATGCGAAATATTAGTAGTTGAAGCAAAGTTATAAATAGGTGCTTTGTTCTTTTCTGATCTTATTGGAAAATAAAAAAGCTCTTTAACTGTCTGTTTGTTTTAAAGTAATATGTTTAAAATATTCAAATTTTCAAAAGAAAACATTTTCAGAAAATATTTCGTACCTCATCTCCAATCTAAGAAACTTTTGGTTTAGTGGTCCGAATTGCATGTTAATAACCAGATTTGAAGTAAGGTGTGTTGAAATATATGCCTCGACCCTGTTCTATCTGTCACACTAGAAAGATCGACTTCAACGCAGAATTTCGCAAAATATTTCACTTTGTAAACTTCAACAGCAACCTTTGACTGCGTGATAGAAAATCAGTGTTCCCATAAATATAATTTCATTTTTCGTAATATTGAAATATATTAAAACTAGCGCACGGGGAACACATAGCGGTCTCGAGGAGTGACATTTGGTTGAGATTGGTAAAGAAAAGTAAAAAGACAGGGCCCCTGACCCCTGAGTACTAAACCCCACATGTCACTCCAGAGGATCCCCAAAGATGTCCTCGACGTTTAATATAGATCAAAATAATAGATCGGAGAAAAGTTAGGGCTCCTTTGGAGGTGAGTTGGGGGGGGGGTCAGATCCGAGAGTCGATCCTTTGTGTTACTCCTTGAGGTCTTAAAAAGTATTTAGAAAGTTTGGTTGAGATTAGTCAAAAATTGAAGGCGTAAAAAACGGACACACAGACGGTACTTCTACTTTGTATACATTCTATTATATTTTTGTTTGTAAAATAGAATTTTATTTAGCTTATTTGTCTTTGGATTTTTTTATATAAAAAATATATTTTTATTTTAATACCATCCCGAAATCAGTAAGGTTGCAGAAGTTTGAAACAGTTTTACAATACCTGCTTGTTAAAATGGACAGGATATAAACAATCTGAACAGGTGTTAAGCTAATCGTGATAAGGTTTTTATCAGTATATATCATAATTATCCCCCTGCTGACACGAAAACTCCTCATTACGCCTTACAGTGAACTTGGCTGTTATCGGTGAAACATGCAAATTAGTTTGCCATTATATATAAGAAAATCGATATGTGATCATTTAACTCGTATGTCATTGATATACGAGATTGTTTAGTAATCACTTTTTGCCTTCACTAGCCGTGTTGTAAGTTGCAAGTTAATAGACGACATTATACCAATAATGTAACAATAACCTCCACAATGAAAAGCAGAACAGTAACGAAAATTATTGTTATATTAAATATATAAAGTAAAGTTCACTTTTAATTCTAAGCTGTTATTCAATAACTACATTTTATATCTTTTGATACGCCCCTATCGGTTAATTTATCGTTCACTAGAAAAACTGAACGTACATCATCTTGGAAATTGTCTTCAAGTAGTTACAAAAAGTTATAGTAGTTACTTGACATAGACTTAGGCTTCAAATTATTTTATTCCTTAGGCTTAGGCCTAGCGGTTGACGTTCCTGAATACGCATCAGTGTTCAAAATTCAATCTATCAATTTACCATTGGAGATTCTCTGTACTTTAAGCTCTGGCCGCATTATAAAAGTGACAGTCAAACTCGTTATTCAATTAAGAATAGTTATGTAAGTAGCAAGTACTACAAACTGATTTTCTCTGCGAAGATTACATCTGAAATTCTTTGTTAATATTATTAGATATTATTATAATAATCAGGACGTCTACAACAAATAGATATGTCTTTAAAAAGTCAACAGTTACCTTTAGAACTTTCTTATGCCAAGTGACGAAACCAAAGCTAAGTTGTTCGATCAACTGTAACTCGTTTTTTCTTTTTCTGCCTGCGTAGCACTTGTATAAAGCCCCCCAACTTTAGATACAACGGCACATGTTTTTCCGCAATAGACCAGCGGTAAGTTTATGGACTTATGACGCTAAAATCTGGGATTCAATTACCTGTGGTAGACAGAGATAACTATTGTGTAGCTTTGCGCTAAACCAGGCAAACAAACACTCTAGTAAAGAATCCATTTTAAACATGAACACCTGGCAAGTGGTATTTCACATAACTTCATGATAAGTTGAAAGTTTATTAGATTTAAGGAATTTGATTGTGTGGTTGTGAACTGCGAAAGGACCGAGCTCGAGATGCTGCCCATTAGCTTAATAGGTATAGCCAGGACATTTCCATAGAAGCACTAGGAAAGAGGAGCTGATCTCATTCCCTAAGTTCTCTTTCTAGAAATGTTATAGCGGCATTTCAGAATTTAAGGACACTTTGCAAAGAAACCGCACTTCCATTTATTGATTAATTAGGCACAATTTACCGTTTCTATACCTGGACTAAAGCACAAACTCTAATCAATCAAATGAGAACGCGTAAATCAGTTTCGGTTATGAAACCAGGTTTCTGATATGTTTTTGGCAGCAGGCCAGGCGTTAGTTTAAAATACGATAATAAAGGCAGCACACGAGTATGTTTCCAGTTATCAAGATAGCCTGGCTACAAATACAGCTGTATCATCAGAATAACTTATAAGTATAGTTTCGATTTTTTAATATATGTAAACATATGTTAAAGAAAGCAAAGTTTGTTTGTTATCATAAGTTATTTATACGTATCTTTAACGATGCAATTGAAAAAAAAAGTTTCATTGTGTTTGTGTTGCTCAACATTAACCAAGATTTCAAATTAGAAAACACAGTTGCTTTTCTTAGCGTGTAACTCTTTTATTTGCATTGAATTAATTATTTATGAATTTCAAATACAAAAACGTGTTTTGGTGGTTAACTACATCAAAATCCAATAGAACACGGACACAATTAACAGTTTCTAAATTTTCCAGAATTATTATACAATTTCTACAACGAACAAAATAAAAAGTAAAGACGATTAAATATCGTGATTCGAAATGACAGTTTTGTTTGTTTTGTAGTTATGCACAAAGCTACAAAATGGGCTATCTGTACTCTGCCCACCACGGGTATCGAAACCCGGTTTCTAGCGTTATAAGTCTGCAGACAAACTGCTGTGCCACTGTGGGGCTCGAAATAACTGCCCTACATTTATTTCATGAAATACTAAAAATCGTTAATCATATTATTCCGATTTTCGTATATATCTTTAAAGAATATGTACTGTCGCACACCATTTTGACATAAGTATAACAAATGCTATGGTAATAGTAATAACCTTAGCTCTATGACATTCTGGAAAAAAACATTTATTCAGAGTTAACACTATGAGCCAGAAATTCTAATGTCAGAGTCAAGCCAATCAAGAAATAAATCTGAAGTCAGAGCTAACCATAACTGCTAACAAGTCTTATGTTAGACATGTTGAATGGCCGTCATGTGACAGAAAATAATAATTAATTTTACTTTTCAAAATTTTATCTAAATAAATGTTTTATGAACATGTTTTCTGAGAATTAATTATAATCCAGTAACCATATATGTATGGAGAATGACTATCCCATTTCTAGTATTTCATGAAAACAAAATGTTTTATGTAATTTCCTTTAAATATTGCTTGATTAGCATTTTAAAGTTATGTTCAAATGTTCTTCTTGGTAAATCCTTATAGACTGAAACATGCGAAAAACTGATTCTCAAGACATCTTCCGACTTGGTCAACTGCATGACCCTGCTAATTATTAATTGTGATAGTAAAGGCAGTGAATTTGGACTGCCTTTCTGTTTTTGGCTTTGTTAGCCTACTGAGCTGAAGAAGAGCGCTTTAATTTGGGCATTTTGAAAATTCAAATGTGCTGCGGGTAAAACATGCGGGCTATTATAGAGTTGTAGCCGAGGGTTCCGATT